GCAGAGCTGCTGGTGAGTTTGAACTGCCGACCTTTCAGTCGGCAGCAGAGCGCTTAACCGTTGTGCCACCAGGGCTCCTTATAAAATCTTTAGGGAAGGATATTCAAGGAGCTGGCAGTAATGGTTGCTTCCAGAGGGAGAGAAGGGGGGTGAGGGAGACTTATTTCCTATCGATGACCCTTTGTATATTTTTGTCTTGCAAAACAGTAGTGAAGCATGGCTAATTTGATACGTGAAAAGAATTAGAATTTTCTAAAAGCCGATGCACTCTTTCAGACACATCTCAATGTCACCTCCTTCCCAGAGCCTCTGGAAGACCACAGGAGGGTGATCGTGGAGGAAGGCTTGCCAGAGACCAGGCTTGGGCCGGGCAGACAAGGCTCCAGCAACAAGAGGGGGAGGCCAGCAGAGGATGCCTCCCAAGTTCCACAAGGCTGATCCAGCAACACGGCAGCCCGTGGTGGTAGAATGGACACAGCCTACAGTGGGGTCTCTCTGCCAGGCCAAGAAGCCTGCTGGACTCTCCGCAAGGCGTGTGTGCAGCAGCACGGGTATGCAGGCTGGACAAGGACGGACAGACAAGGCCGGAGCTAGGTCCAGAGGTTGTGCTGAGCAGCTGTCTTGTGCCCCCGACGGGCACTGGGACATGATCAGGGTCAGCAGAAAGGCCTCGCTGGGCATGCCAGCACTCACACACCACGTCTGCAGAACCTGGGCACAGGTGCAGTAGGCATGCACTGGAGAGGGGCCCACGCCCAGCCCTCCCAGAGGGACATAAGGCCTGAGGGAAGGCACTACAGGCTCCAGTTTTCACGGAAGCCTGAGTGTGGCAGCCCCACCACGTACAAGCCAGGAGGCGCCCAGGTCAGAGAATGCCACACAAGCCACCTCAGCCACTAGGGCTGGCAGACCAAGCCCTGGCCCCGGAGTGGAGGCATGGGCCCTGGCTGCCACATCTCCCATGTCCTCCTGTCCCCTCCTCAGCTTCCTCTCCCTCATCCTAGCATCTCCCAGATCAGCGTCCAAGCTTCCTAGGTGAGTCAAAGAAATCAGACCAACTTGGCAGACTAAGCCCCTCCTCCCTTCCTCCCTACGTCCCCTGAAATGACAGACAAGATGGAAGAGTAAACCCAAACGCACAGGAAGCAATAAACAGCACCACCGAACAGCCAGCTGCTGGAGAACTCCACTGGCATGAGGGAGCTGCTCCACATCTTCACGGTCATGGTAGTTACACGGGCACACACGTTTACCAAAACTCCCAGCTGTACACTTAAAACGGGTGCCTATTACTGGCTGTACATTATATCTCCACAAAGTTGATTTTTAAAATATACACATATATGTACATAAAACCAAAAACCAAACTCGTTGCGATCAAATCAATTCTGACTCATGGCAACCCCAAGTGTTAAACAGAGGAGAACTGCTCCCTAGGGTTTTCTTTACGGAAGCAGATCACCAGCCCTTTCTTCCTCGGTGCTGCCGGGTGGGTCAAACCACCAACCGTTAAGTTAGTAGTCAAGCACAAACCCTTTGTGCCACCCAGGGACCCTTTATATAGGTATATATAGTACATAATCTTTGACCTGGCAATTCTATTTCCAGG